TTAGTGGAATAAAGTATCATTTTTGTGTGAATGGTCTAGGTAGACCAGGACTTGTTGTTGCGTTTACACACGGTAAGTCCTAATTTAACAACTTTCTTTGGTCTCTATTGTAGCCTTTAAAAATGCTAAGTCCCCTATCCGAGTTAGAAATTCAAAATTCTTGATCCAAAACCGTGAGGTAATGGAAATGAAGAACACGAGAGATCTAGGCAAGAAAACAATTCGGTCTTCTTTGTTTTTTCTTTTTTCAAGATCAACTGGTGGTGCGACATGGGACGGGGAAATCCACAAATTCGTCGCCCACAAAGACGAGTAAGAAGAGGTTTTGTGGTATAAAACATAAGATCATAAGATCAACCATTTTTTCCGATCCCGTAGACCGTGTAAGACGTCTCAGAGTCTGCAATTTTTAAAACCGTAAGATTCGAATTCAGTTGTTAGTTCCGCTGTGCGTAAAATTTTTATTTTAAATTTTCAATCGATTGAGGTGCTCGGTCAAGGAGCGTTCTTCACTGAACCCAGAAGATAGGACACCCCATTTTTTCTTTAAAAATGGAATCTTTTATTTTCGCAATAAAGTGTTGACTGTATAAATGTATGACTTTTAAATCATCAAAAGACTGACATAATATAGGAAACCTCGGCAAATCGACATAGCAACGTTCAAACAACTTCTTATGACCAACAGTTGTGACATTGTCTGGCCCAAGAAACTTAGGGGCCCCTAATGTACACGAAATATGCCGATTTGGGATAACCCATTTTTTGATGATCTGGGCTAACCCATTTTTCGATGGTTATCCAGACGACAAGTTTAATTCGACGTAACCCTGAAGCCTCCGACATGCAACATCAACATAAAGCTTCTAAAGACACATAAGCTCGGCCGGTTCGGTGAAAAACCAACGTCGTCCTCCATGCTGATCTAGCTACGAACAAACATCACCATGGTGTAGGAAGATTACTCCTAACTACGACAACAATTATCATCTCTAATGTCGATCTCAACAAACTCAGTGTGAACAAAGCTGTCGCCCAAAATTGATTCGTCCTGCCTAAATAACTTAGCAACTTGCGCAAGTTACTCAGCAAACTGTTGTGCCATATGGCGTCATGCATGTGGCGGACCCATGAAAGCTCACCATGTGTCCCGATGATAATATTATTTATTGCCCTTTCCCTTCAATGTATTGCCACCCCCTGGTACTTGAAGAGATCATCACAAATAAGAATATAGTCCCAGAGCAATTATTGGCAGTATATTAACGCTAGCATTCAATTCTCCTTTTCCAATAAATAAGTTTACAGTTGTTTTAAATTCTTGTGGTTCACTTCTCGTCTTTTTGCTCTTACGTTTCTATTAAACAACTTTAGTCTAGTTGATATCGACCATCGATATAAGAGAACATATTTTTAAGTCGAAGAATAACATAAGTATATCGGGGTAAAATGAGATTGGAACACATTATAACATTAATAAAGAGTTGATTACTTTGTCTTTTCAAAATGTCAACTATGTTGTTTTCTTGATGACAAAAAAAATTTCAAATATGAGTTAGTGTGTTTTTGTGGTTATTCTATGTGGTTTTTATTGGTTAATTTGTGCTTTTTTTAATTTATTTTAGATTTTTCATGTTCCATTTAGTCGATATTGCTCGTTACGCATTTTTGTATGGTACATGTTGTGTATTTTTATGTCTCTTTTTATATCTTACATATAGGAAAATGCTTTCTGAAATTAAATATGCTTGATGTTGCTCAAAACTATCGAAAATCACATCAAAAAAAGTGTTGTGGAACGCGTCGGAAAGTTGCCAAAAAAAAGAGGTGAGTGAAGAGAATAATGTGTACATGTAATCGAAAAAAAA